ATCTGTGGCTTCGATCCGATGACCTCGAAATGAATCGGCCTAAGGCAGCTATCCGTCCAGTTAGCCTCTGTATGACTTTTACACTATCCACGACTGCGATGTCTTCGATGGCCTTGATTTTATTGGGGTTGATCTCAATCCCCCGATTCGATACCATAAATCAAGGAACTTGACCAAACCAACCCCCAAAGCACATTTCTCGGGGTTGAGCTTCATGTTGTATTTTCTTAAAATCTCGAACATTTCCTGCAAACCAAATGGTCCTCTGCGCGCAAGGACTAAACTAGCATGTCATAAATATAAACCTCCATTGATTTACCTATTTGTTCTTCGAATATTTTATCCACTAGGCATTGGTAAGTAGCTCCTGCATTTTTTAACCCAAAGGGCATTACATTATAACAATATGTTCCATACTTGGTGATAAATGAAGTCTTTTCTTGGTCTTCCCGGTTCATTTGGATTTGATTGTACTCGGAATAGGCATCGAGAAAAGTACGGATCTTGTGGCCGGCCGTGGAATCGATCATGCGATCGATGTTAGGCAGTGGAAAAGAATCTTTGGGGCACGCCTTGTTTAAATCCTTATAATCTACACACATTCTAAGTTTGTCCCCTTTTTAGGGACTACAACTACATTGGCTAACCATTCGGGATATTTCACCTCCCGAATGGATCCTATTTTGAGAAGTTTAGTTACTTCGTCCTTTATGAATGCGTGCTTTACCTCGGACTGGAGTCTTCTATTTTGCTTCACCGGTTTGAATCTAGGGTCCAGGCTTAGCCGATGTGTCGTTACCTCCGGTGGAATCCCTGTCATGTCTAAATGGGACCAATCAAAACAATCTATGTTATCAACAAGAAATTGAATAAGTTTTTTTCTGAGTTTGGGGGTTAATCCCGTTCCTAGGTATACCTTTCGCTCGGGCAGGTACTCGATTAATATATCCTGTTCCAGCTCTTTGACCGTTGATTTGGTGGTGTCAGTATCTTCGGGAACAACAAAAGTTCGAGGGGTCAGAAAATCCTCCTCTTCTTCTTCTATATTCCGCTTCCTTGATTCGGTTGAGGCTGGTATTTGTGCTTGCTATTTGACTTCCTTTTTATCTTTGATGCTCGACCTTTCCGAGGATGATAGTGTCGATATCGGGGTCACCTCATCGACCAAAAATATTTCCTTTGCAGCATGTTGCTCCCCATATACTGTTTTTACACCGTCCGACGTCGGGAATTTCATCATTTGGTGGAGAGTCGAAGGGACTGCCCTTATATTGTGGATCTAAGGCCTTTCAAGCAGGGCATTGTACCTCATGTCGCCCTCGATTACGTGGAACTTGGTATCTTGAATGGTTCCAGCCATGTTCACTGGTAGAGTAATCTCCCCTTTAGTTGTTTCACTAGACATATTGAATCCGTTTAAGACTCGAGCTGCAGGTACGATTTGACTTTGTAGGCCGAGCTGCTCCACGACCCTCGATCGTATGATATTTGCCGAGCTACCTGGATCTACTAAAACACGCTTAACTTGAACTTATTTAATAAGATAGAAATTACCAGAGCGTCGTTGTGGGGCTGAGAAATGTCTTTTGGTTCTTCGTTGTTGAATGATAAAGTTCCTTCCGGCACATAATCTCGGGTTCTTTTTTCCCTAGAGATTGATACCTTAGTGCGTTTGAATATGGGTCCCCGTGGGATGTCGACCCCACCGACGATCATATGAATGACATGTTGGGGTTCCTCCTGCTCATTTTTCCTGTTGGCGTCCCTTTCTTTGAAATGATTCTTGGCTCGATTGCTGAGGAACACTTGAAGATGGCCCTTATTAAATAGATGGGCTACCTCCTCCCATAATTGCATGCAATCCTCGGTCTTGTGACCATGATACTTGCACATCAAATTTGGGTTTCTTTGGGAAGGATCAGTTTGTATGGATTTGGGCCACCTAGTATCTCTGATTCTTCTGATTGCCGAAACAATGCCCGATGCATCGATGCTTAAGTTATATTTTGATAACCGAGGTGCCTCTGTGGGATCGGCATACTTGTCAAAACTACTTTTGCTCATAAGTCCCCGAGAATTCTGTCCTCGATCACTTCTTCGATCGTTCAGGGCGGAATTGCGTCCTGAACCATTGTTCCTTCGATCTACGGTATATGTTTGATATCGGTCCCTGTTCGACCTTGACTCCATGTCGACGTCCATCTGGTTTTTAACTGTCAACCTTTTTGGATATACTGAACCGGAAGGGGCTCCTAATTGGTCGTCCTCGACCCTGATCTTCGACTGATATCGATTGTGCATATCTGCCCAAGTTATAGCTGAATACTCGATCAAATTTTGTTTCAACTGCCGTGATGCTATCGAACTCCGTTCGTTCAACCCTTGGGTGAAATCTTGAATGGCCCAATCATCTGTGACCGGTGGCAACTCCATGCGTTTCATTTGAAATCGGGACACGAACTCCCTTAGCATTTCATTATCCCTTTGTCTTACCTTGAAAATATCTGATTTCCTCATTGCGACCTTTATGGCCCCGACATGTGCCTTTACGAAAGAATCTGCTAACATGGCAAATGAATCGATGGAATTTGGTGGCAGGTTGTGATACCAAATCATTGCTCCCTTCGAAAGGGTTTCTCCTAATCTTTTCAACAGCACGGATTCAATTTCATCATCCTCTAAATCGTTACCCTTGATGGCGCATGTATATGAAGTATCATGCTCGTTGGGATCGGTAGTCCCATTGTATTTGGGTATGTCTGGCATACGAAACTTCTTTGGAATAGGCTTCAGAGCCGCACTTGGAGGAAACAACTTTTGTACAAACTTCTTCGAATCCATCCCTCTAAAGATTGGCGGTGCCCCTGGTATCTGATCAACTCGAGAGTTGTATGTCTCCACTTTTTTATCGTTGGCTTCGATTCTCTTCTTCCCTGATTCAATTCTTTTGGTGAGCTCCTCAAGCATTTTCATTACCACAGGATTAGTCCCCGATTCGTTACCATTCGACCTTTCCAGTACTGGCTCGGTATGACAAGTAATTTCTGGCTCGACTCTATTCGGAGCTCTATGTTGATTTTGTAACTGAGCAATACCGGCTTGCTGAGCCTGAAGCATCTCGAATATCAATTGGAGACTGACTCCTTCGTCTCCTCTGCCCTGTGTTCCTTGGCCACTAGATCGGCCTTCTCTGCGTACACTCCAATCAAGATCTGCGCCTAGGTCCGCGTTTAGAGCAACGTGCGAACTGACATCGACTGGGTTGGCAACCGGTGCTGCCCCGAGATTAGCCAGTGGCACCTCGACTCCTGGAGCGATCACATTTTCATTTTCATCGTGGAATCTGAGACCATTGTCACCGTGTGTGGATGCGTTTTGTGAGTTTGACATATTTTAACCTGAAAGCAAAGACACTCAACAAGAACAAGCGTAAAATAATGTGTTTTACCAGAATCAGTACTTAACAATCACTATTATCCTTAGCCCCACGGTGAGTGCCAAACTGTTTACCCTAAAATCCGAGTAACAATTAAACTTATTTAGTGATTTTAAGGAAACGTGATTTAATCCAATACCAATTGATAAAAAAGGAATTGAATAGATAATCTGAATAGTAAAATAAATCAAACCAGTATTCTAGCAGTGCTTTCGACCTCAATTCGGGATGGTCTCGAGGTTGGGTAACAAGAACAGTAAAGAACAGAAAATAAACAACGATGTATATTAATGGATAGTAAGTGAAATTGAGAGCAGAGTTTGTGTATATTCTTATCAGTCAAAATCTTCCTCCTTCAAATAAATGAGGCCCCTCTTTATATAGTAGATGAATCCTAAATAAGGTACAATTCTAATAACGGAAACAAATCCCATGATTGGCGTCAATAACCGCTTGATTCGATATGTTCCGAGATTTCCGCTGAGATCTTCGGTCGGTTGCTAATATCTCGCCATTCCGTTATTATGCCTTACTCGAAGTCGGTCATGCTCAGTCTCGATCTTCAGCGAGCACTTCGATCTTCATGCTCCATACTCTGCCATTGAGCTAGAGCCTGGTCTATTACGAGCTTACTCTTGAGGCAGCTCCTCGTGCCTATGAAATCGGACATGCCTGATTTCGACCGTATACATGTAGGTTTCGAGTTAAACCTTTATTGAAATTTTAATTGGACATCAAATTTTGAATGAAGTGAAATTTTACGATATATATAAATTAGTTTAATTTTCCCCTTCTATGTTGTGAAATATCAATAGAACTAAGCTCATAATTGCTCGTTTAGCTTAACTTTACGAGCCGATATTACACAATTTAAGAAAGATTGTATGATTAATACAGTACTATTTAGGTGGGTTTAACATTATTTTAGCTTCTTAAATTTTATTTCCTTTGTCATGAGTCGTTATACGATTTTTCAAGTGCTTGCGTCCTTCCGTCTTGTATAAGGAAAGGTGGTGGAAAGAAAGGGGGCTAAAACGATTTAAATAAGTAGGAATAATTGCATGAAGTTCTCTTTTTTTTGTTTTTTCTCTAATCTTTTCTCTTTTTTCATTTATCAGGTTTATGTAGGCACTAATTTGAGATTGTACTATTTCTTCTCAATTGACCATTTACTAGTGCGGCATAACTACAATGCACTTAAACAACTACCCAAAGTCGAAAGAGAGTAAGATGAAGTAATTTTCGTTTCCGCATAGAAACAAATTAAGCCAGTGCAAACTCTTTGCTAAAACCGAAGGTGAACTATTTTTCGTCAAAATCTGACTGCTATGACTACATGACGTGGCAGTCCGAGATGAAGGTGCACAGAAAATTCAGAAATGGACATGATCTCCCATTTGGGAATTGTACGATAAGCTAAGCTGCATCATTTTGGTAATTGCATGCATGCATTTGCAATCTATAAAAAGGCTTACAATATATCAAGATGGCAGTCACAACCTGAAGTACACGACCACGTACGATCGACATCCTAAATTAAAAATATCATAGTGTATCATATTCCATGGCTTCAGCTCCACACCTTCCAACTGATCCTATTTCATCACCTAACAATGGAAAAACCTTCGACCAAAAACGTTTTGCCAGAATTCGAGTAGCCACTGAATCCGACGTCCCACACATATACAAACTCATGCAACAGTTATTTGCTTACCACAACATAACTCATCTCCTTAAATCCACTGAGAACTCCATTGCCTCGGCGCTATTTAAGCCTAAATTCCCTCATCTTAGTCCTGTTACTGCACTTGTACTCGAAGTCTCACCTTATCAGTTTCCTTATTCCACGTGCAAGGTCGACTCCAATGTAAGGCCATTGAAATGATTACTTTACGCACAAGAATGACATTTTTTTATATTTAAAAATAATTTAATTTTAATTTAAACTTCGCATTTTGCTCATGGTTTATAACCCTATAAATATTTATGGCTTGTTTTAGACTATAAATTTCAAAAGTTTGTCCTTTTTTGTTAAACTTCATACCCAATCTAACACCATCACATAAATTGTGACAAAGAGATCAAAGTCTTATACATAACCAAGAGCTGATCTAGTAGTATAAAGTTGTTTTTATTTGAACCCATAATTTTTAGTCTAAATTTGACTTTATCCGTGTAAAATCCACTGGAAGTGCTGAAAATATTGCATTATGAATCCAGAACTCAAAAAAGGTGATGAGTTTAGTGGTTGGAACTTGGAACCCTACTTGAACCCATATAATTAAAATATTAGAGCTGCATTTGTATCTAACATATACTCCCTCCGTTCTGTGAACCTGTTGGACTGAGCACGAAGTTTAAGAAAAAATGAAGACTTTTGGAATTTGTGATCCTAAAAAATTAAAAAAGGGGCCCAAAGTATTTGTGTGGTTATAAAAGATTCTCATTAAGGGTAGAATTGTAAGTTCAAGCAAAATTGTTTTCAAATTTAGAAATGGGTCATTCTTTTTGGAACGGACCAAAAAGGAAAAAGGTTCATATAAACCGGAACGGAGGTAGTAATTTGTATAAGTAATTAGGTTAATAAAAGGTTCCAAATTGTACGCTTTCAATAAATTAAATTTGGTTGAGGCTGTAATTAGAATGAGAGAGTAAATCTTGGATTCTCATGTTTCCTCTACAAATTTATTTTCAACTCAACTTTCCTAAACCTAGCTATTCTCGTTTGATTAAACCATAGAAAGTTAGTCATTTTGCCTTCTTCGTATATGATTTTAGGTCATCAATTTCATTGAGCCGCCTCTGCCTCTGTCTGCTGACTTTGATGAAAATCTCCAGGGTGTTCTCCTCGGAGTGAAGGAAATTGATCTCGACAATATGCCCCTCATAGATGAGGAGTCAGAGGAGTTCAGAGATGTCAAAAATCAGCAAGATGATGTTTTTATTGCTGGATATGTCATGTTCTACCCATGCTTCTCGAGTTTTTTCGACAACCCGGTTTTCCACATGGAGGACTTATTTATAAGGGAGTGTTATAGGGGGAAAGGGTTTGGAAAATGGATGTTTTCTACCATTGCGTCGAAGGCTGCAAGAATGGGGTTTTCTTCCATTGATTGGATCGCTTCGCAATGGAATAAAAGTGCAATTCAGTTTTACACTCAAATGGGTGCTAGAATTTCTGATGATTTTCGAGTTTTGAGTTTAGCTGGTAAGGCTCTTGAAGCATTTAACGATGACAGTGACAAAGGATTGTGTTCTTGAAAAAGAATTGCTCCATCGCTGGAACAAGTTTTTATATTGTGTCTTGTCTTGGTTTTACCATATATTATTGTGTTAAATCAGTGCGGTGCACTAAAATAAAGACATGCAGAATAAAAATTGTGTTTAGTTTTCAACTCAAAAATAAAGAAAATATAGTGGAGAGAGTTACAAATTGATTTTTTTTTTAATTAAAGTTATATTTGGCCATAGTACGTAGTTGTATGTCACATTGTAATCCGTCGGTTTGATTTGTTTCATTCTTGACCGTACGATCTTGTTAGTTTTTCTATTATATTAATATAATGAAAGGGCAAAAAGATAACCTTTTTGAAACGAGCTAGGAAGCAGTCCATAGATTTATCATGTGGTGCAGATAATTGCTTTATTAATTTCTCGTGTTTTATTTTGTAAAATGATTCTTACGTGAACATCGAGAAAAATCCAAAGGTTATCTGCGATAGTCTTAATACTTTATGAAGGGCCATGTATATATTTTGCTAATCTGTATTAATCATTTCAAAGGGTTGACGAACTTGAAAAAAACAAACGTCTTTTCAATCGGATCAAATCCTCTATATTTGAGAAAGTTCAAGAGTTTAATTAAGAAGAAATTTTGACCTAATTTTGGCGCAAATAAGAATTGAATAACATATATTGAAAGGTGTAACATCTGTTACAACCCAAATTCGCATACCATAGATCACGTCATAAGTTAGTCGATGTAAATCCAAGAAGAGATTATCTTTGAGATGATAAGAAGTTAATCCTATTGGTCTTAAACGATACAAGGGTGTATAAGAGTGGTTAACAAATATTAGAAGTTAAACGAATCAAGGATGTTGTAACCCGTATTTTCGGGTAACACTAGAGGTGATTAACTGTCCCAAGAGGTCTTGTTTTAATGTATTTGAATCATATAATATCCGCATCATAAGTCTTGAAGTCAAGCGAGTTATGAAACAAAAGTCGATAAAAGTTGTCGCAACTTAGGTTTATAATTTTACTTAAACTTTAGGTCAAATGTTACTGCATTTTTCTCCCAATGTGCTTGGAATTATGGGGTGATCTACCTATCAAATTGCAGATCTATGAGTCTAGTTTCCAACGCATTAAACCGTTCGTCGATACGATCTCGGAATAGAGAGATATTTGCGTTTTCGCGAGAGTGCGCCAAGCTGCTCTCTATGGGGCCCACAAAGGCGGTTTAAGACATATGGACATATATAAGATACCTCAACCCCGTTTTAAGTCATTATTTTTCAGTATATTCAGACCTTATAACCCTAAAAACAGTCTCTCAAGGTTCTCTCATGATCCAAGACCCAAACAAAGGGCAAACAACACAAATCAAATGTCGGGAATCCCGTGGCGCTAGTAAGTTTCTTGTTCTTCTTGTTGTTGCTGATTTTTGTGTTGTTCCAGCTCGTGTGGGAGGTTGTTTTAAGTGTTTTATGTCCTGTAAATACACCTTCAAGTTTTTAATATCAACCCTAGGTGATTTCAAGTCTTCTAAAGTAATTCTAGTGCCGAAAAACCCGAATTAATTGCTAGTTTCGCTTCCTTGTTCTTGTGGCAGAATTGAAGGGATATTTCGTGGAAAATTAAGGTCAAATTGGAGTTGTTCTTTCTGTTTAAAGGTAAGGAACCTCTTACTCTATATATATTTAAGATTATCCAAGTTGCAGCTAAGTCGTTGAAGCTAGAACTTGTGAAATATATATCGAAAGGCTTGGTAGTAATGTTGTTGGTTGGTGGACTGTTTTGGAGGCTCAATATGATTATTAATGATGTTGTTTGGGCTGTTTGGTGATTGTATTGACTTGTGGGAAGTCATATAAATAGGGGAGGTGCTGTCCGTTTCATCGTAAAATAGGTTGTGGTCGATACATAATAGTTACGACGCTTAAACGATAATGATAGTGTCATTTGTCTTATTGTAGACTAAGGAGTCGTGATATTTGCATAGCTTGAGGTTGGGCAGTATATACAAGGTATGTGAGGCTATCCCCTTCATTCTTTTGCACGACTCCGATTGTACATAATGTAATGAACGAGCTCCCAAAGATACTCTACTCTTAGAAGCTAGCAGTACTTACATTGCTGCCCTTCTTATGAAACGATTGATATTGATGTTACTTCTCTTATTCTTATATTATCAATGTTGTTGGTAGTTCCTGATTCTTATAAGATTCTTGATGAAGAGTTAATCCTAATAACGTGTACGAAGGATACCGACCTTACGTCACTCCGAAAGGTTCAAAATGTGATTCCAATGAGTCCAGCATGCATCATATATATGTATCTATTTTACTCTACCGAGCCGCGCTATAGTCGGCCGGGTATGGCACCTATTGTGCAACCACTGATCAGTTGGGTTTTACCGAGCTCCACGTGGCCGGGTACGATTCTACCGAGCCCTATGATGGCCGGGTACGTTTTACCGAGCCTATTATGGCCGGGTACGATATGATGATGATGATGCCCACAAAGGCATATGTTTTAAACGTTTATGTATATATATATGTATGTATCATGTATTTCATGTCAGTAGCCCTCAGAGGTACCCAGATGTCACAGGTTGTATATTCCCTATCACTGTTTACATTATTGTTCTTACTTATGCTATTCTGCCTTACATACTCAGTACTTTATTCGTACTGACGTCCTTTTTATTTGTGGACGCTGCATGTCGTGCTGCAGGTCCTGATAGACGGGTAGACGCAGCTCCCCCATCACAGTAGGCTATCCGGTTCAGCGTTATTGGCAAGATCCTTTCTCCGGACTTGCCGTGGTCTTGGTATGCATTTTTGTTATAGACATTATGGGTATGTCGGGGCCCTGTTCCGGCAATGTTGTAGCACTTATGTTCTTTTAGAGGCTCATAGACAGGTGTCGACTCATGTATGGTTTGGAATGCCTTGTCGGCTGATTTTTGTTGTATAGTCTTTCATGGCACCATGGTAGCTCGTACCTTATATATAGTTTCTTGACAGTCTTGTCGTCCCATGTTACGTATGTTCATGACATTATCTTTCATTGTTGGATGTTCATGATCCATGTCTTTCATTTATATTGGTCTTGTAGGCCCTTAAAGATAATAAGGAAGGTTAGAAAATGTACGTTGGTGCTCGGCAAGTATGGCCCGGGTGCTAGTCATGACCCTCCAGTTGGGTCGTGACAACATCATTGCTAGCTAACGGTTCAATTAGCAACAGCTAGGGGATGCATAAATTATACTCCATCCGTTTCACTTCAGATGAATTAATTTAACTCGGTATGAAGTTTAAGAAAAAAGAGGAATACTTGTGAAACTTTTAGTCTAAAAAAAAAGAGGAAGACTTTTGAAACTTGTGATCTTAAAAGCTTAAGCGGTAAAAGCTAGCTTTGTAGGACCATGCCATCTGTGTGGTTATAAAAATTTCTCATTAAGGGTAAAATAAAGCGTTTATAGTAGAATTATTTTCAATTGTAAAAATGTGTCATTCTTTTTGCAACGGACTAATAAAGAAAGTGTGTCATCTGAATTGAATAAGATGGAGTAACACATTACATGGCTAAACATTTTAGTCACAATGACAAAGCTCCCGTCTGGCCATAGATTTTGGCTTCATTTAAAAAAAATAAAATTAAAAACATTGTTTGTTTATGAAATATGATCATGTTTTGGGAAAAAAGATTCAAAATTTTTCAAATTCCTAAAAACTGATTTAGGGCAGTTTTTGGGTGAAATTTTTTCTTTCTCTTACAATACTTCAACTTTTCTTCAAATAAAATGCATGTCCAAATACAACGACAACTTTCAGAATTTATTTTTCAATACAACTTCAAAAATTCTTTTTTAAAGTTTCAAATCAAATTTATGTCCAAACACTAGCAAAATATAATGTGACGTAGCAATAAATAGTGTAACGAAAAGTCAAATACAAACTTTACATGATCCCATTAATAAGACTAATTGCTATAAAAGAGTTATGGTGGAGGCATGTAGCCATGTAGCCATATTAATGGCAAAACTTGTCACAAATAATATACACTTATAGCAAATGGTTTTATCTTTTATCACGATGAATTAAATATGTAGCTATCTTTACAGTGTTAATGTAGCTACAAGGTGATATATTGCCACAAAAATTTAATATTGTTGCAACAAAAAAATTAAATATGTAATTGCGCTCACATATTAGCCTACAAATTCAAAAATTCACAGTTACATTCATCTCGAAATATGTGGTTAGGCTTCTTATATGTTTTAAGGGGCAGTGCAGTAATAGTCACTTTTAAGCTCGCTATTTAAAATATATTCATAATTTACAATGTATTTAAAAATTAGCCAATTTTTTTAAATTTCAGTACTAAGTATCTTGAATTTGGAAATTCAGGACTTAGTGTCCTGAATTTTTGAGCTGCTAATTTGAAATTCAGGACTAAGTGTCCTGAATTTCTGAACCACTAATTTAAAATTCAGGACATAAGATTCGAACTTCAGGACACAATTTTCGATCTTTAGGATATGATGTCCTGAATTTCTGAACTAGTAATTTAATATTCAGGACATAAGATTCGAACTTCAGGACACAATTTTCGAACTTTAAGACAAGATGTTCTAAAGTTTGAATTTTAAGGTTTAAACTCTAAGACGCCGTATCCTGAAATTTGAGCGAAATTGGCTAATCTTTAAATACATTGTAAACTGTAAATATATTTTAAACAATATGTTTAAAAGTGGCTACCTAATGTCTTTTTCACATGTTTTAATGACAAAAAATTGGTTTCTTAATAGCTATAGAAGTTTCCATCACAAAATACCTAATTAATATTTTTCGAATTCTCAAATTTTCCTTGCCCCATGCATACTATACTAAAACGAGCAAGTATAATGAGCACTAGAAATAACTTGGTCCGATCCATATACATTAACATCTAAATTTTCGTTTTAGTCCCTCGATCAAATATGGACAAACTTTGATTTTGGCCCTTATAATGTCTCAGTTTTAAGCATA